GTTATAACTCAGATAATTCTTTATGGCCGTTCTAGATCCGCTGGGAGGCGCACCACTGACGAGTCCCATAAGGTCCCAACGCAGGAGTCTGGTGCTTTTGCAGACCAGACTAAGTCTGCTGTTTGACAGGGCAATAGTGAATTAACCGGATTGTACCAAAATCCTCACTACTACTCGTCAGACTTATGCTATTTACATATTTCTCGGATACAACAAGTAATCGTATCGGAGACATATTTGATGCCGAGGAACGCGACTACGGTGGGTCGGCAATAAACATGGCAGTGCGACAACAACTGAGGTGAGGTGAACAGGTGGTCAATGAAACCTCGAATTTGAGGAAACCAGGTCTGCTACTCGTGCATCTGGGTTTCACGTATGCCAGTCAGTCTACAGAGGAAGACGGATGCAAATAACTTAGAAGTAATAGTGAGCAGACTGATTCCTTTATGACTGCCAATATTGTGAACTGGAGCCTCACTTCCAAATTATTACTATAACGGACAGACGCCAGCCTTTTGGGACAGTTCGCGCCTTATCTTTGCATGATAGCGCCTACACAAGGTGTAGGCGCCTTGACCCTAAATGTTTGCTTAGGACATTAAGGTTTTCAGGTAAGTCTCCCTTCTCTCCCTCTTCTTTTTCTTTATTTCATAGGTCGTCATGGTTGTATGGCAGCGAAGCATCAGTTCAAATGGCTGATATACTGCTGTTGATGATGTTGATGATGATGAAGATGCTCCCAAGGATTTCGAAAAAACTTATGTAACTCTTCCAAAGAGCTGATCCGTCGAATCTGAAGAGAGCTGTTTGAAGTTCATCTGCTCCAGCAGCCTTGATCAACTTTGACAGTCCGATCTCATTTTCGACTTCTGCCCGTGTGGGCGGACACAAATGGACCGCCCAGAGTGTAGGGTGCTCATTGGTCGATGCAGAAGGTGGCAATACTGACTGATTGAACTGCCTCTCATGGTGTTCGGCCCAACAGTCCGGGTGTTTTGACAAGCTGCGATTCGGCTGTCCACTTTCGTCACATCTAGCCCCCTTTCAGTAGATAGAGGAATTTTTGTCTTTTCTGAACATGCAGAATTGTTCTATACATCTGATCCCTATTGGCAGCTTGTTCCATACAGAGCCGAACCTAAAAAGATGCATCTTACTTTACACTAGTGTTGGATCTAGACAATTGGACTTCACATTCGTCGGTTAGCACGTCATAACTGATCTATTCCAGAAATCGCAGTTTGTAAATTTCAACATATACTTTCCGTTATACAGGTTTTGGAGGAAGCACAGATAACAGTGCAGTCTTCGGAACCACTGAGGTTCAAGACTAAACTCATTACACCTATCTCCATACAAAAGTGTGGTTCAATAAGCAAAGAACGCTTTGTGAATGCACGTAAAAAGCTTTAAAAACCCGCAAACCATACTCTCGTAGGCTGCTAAATGTAACACAGCTACATGCAAGCAGAAGTATAATACTATTTATAAAATTTTGTCTTGTTTCTTTCAAACTTTAGTAGGTAGACATCAGTATAACCAATTACGTAACAATTATCACGATATAATTGGTACGTTTGCAAAAGTTTAACGAACTGAATTAAGTCAAACATTAGCAACGAGCAGACTGGCTGATGCGAATGACTTTTCTTAAAACCTGAACAATCTTTCTTTCGTCTGGCATTCATATGCCAGAATATTACCATACAATTTTTAAACCTCATCTGTCACATGGCAACCCATCTCTCAATAGCTTTCAAATCGTTTTGGTTACTGTTGATTTCGGCCGTATGTCCAGAGGTTGGAAACATGTAAACAAACTTTTGAACATCAGCAAGCAAATAAGTGTTGCCAAGTTGTATAACAGAGGTAAGGTAATTTATAAACAGCAGGAAGAGAAAGGGACCAAAATCATTGCACTACTCCACGGGGTGAAGAGATGTTCACACCTATACCCATAACTTACCATCGTCCTAGGAAGTACGATTTGTGCCAAGAGAGAATCGGATTCATAACACCGATTGCACTTGATGTATACAACCGCCCCTGGTGTAGTAGTTTGTCAAGCACATTTTATATGTCGAGATAGTTAAAACGTACTGAAGACCTGAACCTATCACATCAGTTAGATGATTAAGGAAGTCTACTTGACAGGCCGCAAACCAACGGGACTTTCGAAGGCTGTGCTGCGAAGGTAGGGGAATGTAATTCAGTAATAGAAAAGAAAACGGATAATCCTTAACAATTTTCCATAACGTGCCCGAGAGAGAGCCAGCGTTGCTTCTGGGACGGTAATTCCGTACGTCCGTATTGACCTCGACTTATGTTTTGGTACATATCTTAACCTCTTACAGTGTTCCAGATATTGACAGAACTAGAGGAACAGTGAGTAATATTTAGTATTTTAGCAAAGTAGATGAGATTATGTTGAGGTCAGGTCTATAAGATGGTTGTTAAGAGGCAACTATGGGTTTTATTATGTCGACACTAATGTCGATCGTTGAGGCATGTTCCGAGATGTTGCTCGAGGTTGCTAATTTTAGCGGTTTAGCTTCATAGTTAAAGGATTAAACCGAAGCAGCACTTGAATCAATTCTCCAATAGCCGGTAAAGACACCGGTGCCGAATCAGTGCACGTCCCATTGCCTATACAAATCCACGTGTATTTGTGGAGACAGCTATGCTGGGCGCACTAATCGAAATCTAGGTGTCCGAGTCAACGAACACATTCCAAAGCGGCGCCCCAAAAGAATGCGGCAAGCGACTCTCAAACCATGTAAATTGGCAAACAAAGTTGCGTCTAAAATTACTAAAAGCTTGATGAGCACCGTGTTGTAATTCGCTAATGTAGAATTATCCTGATTGTTTGAACCTCGCTCATCGCTGTTTATCGAATAGCGGACATCTTAGTGAGTGGCTTTTCGTTCAGGGCAGTGGCACTTTCTACTTGCCTCCCCCAGTATTCTTCTTTTACATCTATCTACTTCTGCGAAAATATTTGGCGTCGCGGGTACCACCATGGATTTTTTAATTCTACCATCGACCTTTTGGACTGACTGTGGGAACAGGCTAAAGTTACAAGCCTGGCTTCGCTGGAAAAGTTCCTTCCAGAATTGTTTGGATTTAATTACAAACCTATGGTCTCCAATCAGCGAGGAAAACAGATTAAAGTTGCTTCGTCACTTGATCGGAGATGAGAGGCAACGGCAGTTTGATGATCTGAACCTCCAATCGGACGATGACTCATTCAAAGCTCTCAATCGCATTATGGGCTTTCAAATGAACATGTTCAATACAAAGTACGTCTTTGCCCGCAAGAAACAGGGGCATAGTGAATATCCGAATGCTTCATCACTAGACTTAACCGTGCAGTGCGGCCTTACGATTACTCTTCTATTCCTCAGAAAAAGCTCGAAAGCTGCATACTGACGCAACAGTTGATCCCTAGCCTTGCTGTTGACCGTATGAAATGCTTCTACAGAAAGGCACCTGAACTCTAAGCTGGGATCGAGCCTGCGATTTGGCTAGAATGAAGCTGGAGGTTGCTCTGAAGACAGAAGAGGTTTTTGTAATCAAACTGACCGATGCAACAAAAATACAGCCTACTCATCCCTTACCAGGGCGTAAACTACCATGCGACTGCAGTGGCAGCACCTCTCACAATGATAAGTTCTCCTCTGGTCCAGCCCCCAGTCTCACTTGTAGAAATGAGGAAAACTTGGATACTGCTCGCTGTTGCCGATCCCAACGCAGCCCACTCGTTGAAAACTATTTCGTTTCCAAGCACAACGTAGCCGATTCAGCCGAGCAACATATTTACTCATGCACTGTTGATGTCAGAAAATTTAGAAATGTGAGGATATCTGTTGTTGGACCCAAGCTCTCTTCTGCAGATATTTGAACGTTATTCCCTAGGAACAAAGGTTATATGTCACAAGAAATAGAAGTGGAGTTCACGTCTGCTGTTACTATTGTGCCCTGCAGTATCTACAAACTTTACTTTTTCGGATACCCTTTAAATCTGACCGCTCACTCATTCTTGGTTTTCTCGTCGTGCCCATCCGGATAAGCCCAGTAACTGCGAATGATGCGGTTTGAGTTTCACCAAAAGCAAGCAGCATCTGCTTGGGAGGAACGCAATAGTGCCACCTTTTGATCAAATGCTTGTTTCCTCCATTGGAGTAACATACCGGCAATAGAGCTATCCAAAGCTTTTGCTACCTTCTGTTGAACGTATATCATATGAAGTTCATCGCATCCAGCTGAAAAAGGATGCGAAACATCTTTGCACTAGTTAACCTCGACCGACTCCATTTGCGAAGCTTAAATCTGTTTCAGCAGTCTTGCAGGACAACTTAGCGAACCATCTATTTGCGCCCATCGATTGCTCTGAGTGGACACATTTAACGGTGCGTGGTTTGAAAAAGGCGGCACCATCCGGATATCTAATGAGCTACAGGGTCTAAACAGACAGATATTCGTCGAGAGCTATA